TCGCACCTATGCCATCTGCACTTCCAGGGTTAACCTGGATGCTAAAATCTGCTTACCGACAAAGCACCTTCAGTAGCAACAATCAGTTTTTCATGCTATAGCGCGCTGTACCGAAACGACCGCTAATAAAAGTGTCACAGAAATTACATTTGCCTATCCGACATTTCTGAGAGTGCTATGCAAACACAAGGCATCACCTGAGACAAACATGTGATGTCAGTTCGGAATTCGTTGAAGCTCTCGACGAAAGGCATTATCATGCACAAAACACAAAGCGCTGTTTCGTCATTTTCCATAATTCTGTAGTATTTCAAAAGATCATCTAAAGTAATCCGGCGAAATAAGCTTTCACTGAGCATGCCGATGGCATTGGCAGCGAGAAGTGCCAAATGCGCATCCGATTTCCCGGGATTCTTCACTGATTTTTCCAAAATTGTGTAGACTGCCTCAATTTCTGAAAGAAATGCATTATCACATGCAATTATTTATGCTACCAATCCGTATCAATATGATTATTTTTGGTAATTTTACGGGAATCTCTACGAAAAAAATATATCGAGTAAGAGGAAAGGAAGTTGTGAATAATTTGCTTCGTATCATCCTCTTACTCGGCAAGCTGGCTCATCGTGGTCCAGAAACAGTAACATTAAGGAAGAGGCGCTGGAGCTCTACAAACACCAAGTAAAGTTCCCTGGATGAAATATTTATTCCAGCTGTACAGCCCTCTTGAGACGAAAGTAATAAATCATGATGCAGATGAGCAGTCCGATCTGATTCGCTACCCTATCGATATTTCCGAATTTAAGAGAAGTGAAAAAATTCGGTGTTCTCAACGGCTTAAATTTCTAAGTCTGCTAGTTACAAGTGCCAGTAGTATCGCAGCTAACAGCTTTGGAGCTGACATGCCAATGGGCATCTGGAGATGTAGCATGGGCCAGAGTAACTGGACGGGTTGTCAAATGCATCTGACTCAGAAACAGAGTCGATCCACGCATCTCAGGCCCTCAATGTCATTTAAAAGCAAAATGTTTTAAGGACTTAATACTACTAAAAATCCAAATATTTCAAGCAATGATTACTCAATTTAAATCGTAAGCCTAAAAAAAGTAATAGAATTTCTCTTCTGGCTCCACCCGATGCTTCTACAGAAAAGAATTCATTTCTCATACAAATAAAAAGCAGTGTAGTCGGTGCGATCACGCGTTTTGCGCAGTTTCGACAAACGGATGTTTATCTCTTACGAATTTTCAGTGTTTTTCATTTTGTTCTGTGAGAAAAATAGTGTTGTTTTTTGTTCCTAAGCTGCGAAATCTCCCATTAAAAATTTTACGCAACAGTAAGTAAAACGCAAACGTATGTGAAAGCTGAATATGAAACCTTGGACGGTCTCTGCATAGGCAGAAAACAACGTCCTCAAATTTCAGCCTCACAGTTCTTTCGGCTCCAGAGATAATAGCTTTCCTCGCCAAAAATTTCGCGGCGCCAAACAAGAGCCAAAGTTGAATATGAGTCTGCGAGGTTGATTGTGGGTAAGGTATATTCTCCCACAATTTTAGCTTCCAAACTTTAATGGTTTCGAGATTGTAATTTTTCTTCACGGAGCCGTAAAACCCAGGCTTAACTGAAAGCTGAATTTGAATCTATGCGGTTCCACGTGGGCAGTAAACATTCTCGTTAAATCTCAGCTTCCTAGCTCTCGTGGTTCTCGAGATAATAATTCCTCCGCCAAAACTTACGCGAAGCCGTAGGCCGCACGCAGTACCCAAAGGTGCATGAAGGTTGAATTTAAATCTGCAGGGGACATTTCACTAAAATTTTAGCTAGCTAGCTTCATTGGATCTCGCGTTGAAATTCCTGCATAAAATGCATTTGGAACATACAGACAGAACCTCGACAATGTGCGTTTTGTGCAACTGTTGCAGCATGAGACGCATAAGAACCAGCCACTCATTGCAACTGTATCCGATTACATAGAAAAATACATATGCTTTATTCTTTTTTACCATATTCTTTTGACTGCACACCAACCTCCAGGATTTTCAGATTCCCTCCAGAACCACGGATAAGCCGTTAGGCAACAAGCCACGATATCGGTATCAAATTCCTCAGGTGCTTTCAAAATTCCGATCAGTCGACTTCTCACTTCCAAATGGTTTGTTGCATCGAAGAAAGAATGCCGTTGTACTGAAAATCCAAGCTAAAACGTGCTGGAGAATAACAAAGAGAAGAATCAGTTCTCTGGCTTTCGCATTTTACCCATCCCTGACGAATTTATGCTCTCTTAGGCCAAAGTTAGTACCAATGATTGAACTGCATGTTTTCAAAGTTTGCGCCCGTAAATTCGACTTTTGCTATTATCCGTGTACGCGAAGCATTTTATAGCTTCTCTACATGTACAAGTCCCTGAGAAAGCGCCCCACCTGTGTTCCTATGAAATTCAATATGCGAAAACCTTTGGCATTTCTCAAACACGCAAGGATCGGTTGTCCTTTCCGGCCGAGTACTGTGGCTCGCATTTAAAAATTTTTGCAAATGTGAAACTAAACAGATATGGAAGACACGCCTCGCCCACTTCTAAGAACATTAAATAGGCGTTGGCACGCCTCTTTCAGGCTCTTTCATGATGCACTATGTCAAAAGATTTTGCCCTGTTTTTGTGAAATGCGTAAAACTCATCCCATTTGAATACTCACCTTTCAGCGTCACTTGCAACGGCATTCGTTTACTGCATATATTTGCATAAAACTCGAAAACCTTGCGCTCTAATTCAGCAGACTCTCTGGCAGCAATCACTCGTGACGTAAGTGTGCCAACCATCGGCATAATCCATAAATCGAACAGTGGCACATCCGAAATATCGCCAAAGAAATTCAACATATGAT